GGTATTGTCGGAAGAAGAGGGTTCATCGTTACAAAGAGTCCAGGTTTGGAAACCAGGTAGGCAGGGGGGGCATCGGGCTTGGGGGCGGCTGCTCAACTCAACTGAGACCCCAGGAGCCCCGAGATAGGAGGGTGTTAATTTTCTGCTTTCATGTGCGAAGTCGGGAGTGACGAACAACTCAGCAATCATTGACTTCACCGAGGGTTGTTTTGGATGTAAGACCGGGTTTATTTTTCCAGAGCTTTGCGAGGCTTTCCTTCTGCACATCTCTCCACACAGTGCTGGAATAAACCAAGTATCTTGACTCTTTCCATCGGTTCTTGTATAGTGGGTGAAGAACCCACCTGTGGGGCAGGCTGTGGCAGGAGCGGCTGGGGCTGGGGCCCCGGGGTGCCTGGCGCTGGTGAGGCTGCCAGGGCCCCGTGCGTGGGCTGGGGGTGGGCAGCGTGGGAGCCAGGAGGCTCAGTGCTGCCAGCGCCCATCCCTGCGGGAGCTGGAGAAGGGGGGTCTGTGTTGTCAGTTACTAATTGAAATTAGGTAATATTTGAGGGAAATATTGAAGGAAATCATGTCAAAGAGAACATAAGGGACATGCAGAATAAAAACAAGGCTTGGATAACAATGAAACAGTGAGAATGAGACAAAACCAGATGCCAGTGAGAGAAAAGCATGTCCCAAGGAGTCACCACCCATCGAGCCAGGCCTGCAGGACACTTGCAGGAAGGAGAGGACAGGGATGGAGAGCTCTGCCCACAGCTTGGCTTGGGGACAGCCTGGAGCACTGGGGGGAAACACTGAGTAATTGATTTGCCATATTAACATATGAATGAGATATTAGCATACTGAAATACACACATACCCAGGCTAGAGGGACCCCTGCTAACAACAATCCCCCACTCTTGGAGCAGGCACAGTGACATTCCTGAGCACTGGCACTTGGGATGGAAGGAAGGGCTTAGTGACCCACTGTGTGTGCCAGTGATACAACAATGGTCAAGATCAAGGTCTCTCTCAGGTTTTTGGGTATAAAAGCAGGACTTGTGTTTCAGGGAGCTGAGCTTGCTGTGTGGAGCACCCCTCTGCTCCCTGCTCTGTGCAGAGCTGGGTATTAAAGCAGATCTCTGGGCTCTTTGTGTGAGAAGGAAGTGCTGGGAAGGAGAGAAAGCCCAGCCCAGCCAGCACATAGGGTGATGGCAGCAGCAAATTGAGGTAAGTGGGAATGTAGCACTAGAGGAAATCAAGGTGAGGGTCCAGCTCTGGTGAGGAGTGGTGGGTGAGGGAGCAGGTTGGGAGGATGCTGCTCTCAGCAGGAGGGTATAAGTATGTTGCAAGAAGAGAGTGTGTCTCTGTGGTGGTGACACGCTGTGGCGCTGTGGTTTGGGCTCACAGGGGAGACGAGCTCAGGCTGCTCTGAGAGCAACTCAGGAGCAACATGAAATCCTGTAATGGGTGGTTCCCCTTAGGTTTTAGTTCCAGAGGGAGGCTCCAGCACATGTCCCAGAGGCCATGTGGCCCTGTAAGAAAAGTGGAATGGAGAAAGTTACATTGCAAACTGGGCAGGAGTGGAGCTGCCAGTATGGCTGTAAGCAAACTCAGCAGTACCTGCCAACTAGCCTGACCTTTTTATACCAAGCACAGAATAAACATCCAAATAAAAAGGCCTGGTTTTATCCCAAAGTGTCAGTGCACTGTCAGCTTCTTCAAAATGTTGCAGACACTTTACAGGATGTCTGTGAATGTCATAGAAGTTTATGGTCTATAAAGGAAGGAGCTGCTTTAGGAAGAAGATTTAAAGGATGGGAAGCTGCAGAAGCAGTGTTTTCATGTCCACGGTTGCTATCTGCAGCCACACAGCGGCAACCACAGCATGGGAGATGACCCGGTCAGGCAGTCACAGGGTAATAAAGCCAGGTGGAAGTCAGATTCAGCCTGTCTTGGTGTGGTGAAAGAAGAGCAGCAGGCTCTGAGGATGCATGAGTGGTTCTGGTCAGGACTTCTCTAGGGCTGATTTTGTCTTCCGATTCCTGCCTGAGCAGGTGCAGAGATCCTCCCTGCTTCTTACCTGAAACTTGTGTAAGATTTATCCCTGATAGATTGGTCACTTGATTGATTTTTATTTTTTTAATTAAGACTGAAACGGTATTGTGCTTTCTTTATGAATTTAGTAAAATGAAAATATTAGAGGAGTTCTGAGCTGCATTGCAAGTACTTTTTAAAAAAATATTATTATTTTCCTGCATTCCCAGGTTCATGCTTTCAGTAAAGTGTCACCACCATGAAGACTTCTCAATCCCTGATTTTTGGTGGGCTGTTGTTTCTAAAACTGTTTCGGCTTGATGGTCCTGAGCAAGTTTATTTCTGCAAAGGATGGGGCTCAGGCCTCTTTCTTTCCATCTTCCCAGAGAGGAGAAGGCTGTGACATTGAAGGTTCTTCTACTTCTTAAACCACAGGAAAGTCTTCAGACATGTTGGTTTAAAATGTGAACTGTTGCAAAGAAACCTGAAGATATTAGCATGAGATAGTTTGCTTTTGCAGTGGAGAGGAAAGGCTGGAACTGGTCTTTGATCCTTCCTGGGCTCAGAGTGAAGGCTTTGCCACATGCAGCAGGATTAAGATCTTATTTTTAGACTACTTATCTAAAATCTGTCCCAAAGAGCTTTGCTGCGTTAGGCTGTAAGTAATGGCTGTAAAGTGTGTAATCCAGGGCTATAGGGGAAGAAGAAAGGATTTGTACTCATTGCCAAGCTTTCTGAAGAGGTTGAGGAAATCCTTGAGGTGACATGGGCCTAGACATTTGTCCTGGGGTGTAGCCTTTTGTGTAAACCAATCCTAATAAAATAATGCCTTTTAAAAAGCTCTTATTGTCTTCAGAAATTCAAATACTTACTGGTGGAGCCAAAGGCTCTGAAAAGAGACTTTTCCAAGATATGAAGAGAAAAAGAAATAGTCTGGGTTTGTCCCTCCTTCTCAGTAACACTAAAGTCTTCCAAAGATACTGAAGTGAGGAGGTGAGTCCCTCACCTGTGGTGCTTTCAGACTGGCAGCTCTGGCAGCTTCAGCTGGACAAGCTCCTTCCCATCTCACTTGGTCAAACCCTCAGCCTTGGTGAGATAAAAGAGCAGGGATTGCTTGTTGTGACCTCTGGACACAAGCAGTGCAGTCCTGAGTATCTGGATGGCTGCATTTGTATTTGATCTATCCATCACAAAATGTGTAAATCCCTCTCTGTCTGCTGTAGGTCACCTGAGTTCTTGTTCTGTGAGAGTATCCAGTCTGAGCTGAGCAGCCTGCCTTGCTCTAATAACCTGGGGCTCTGCACTGCCTTTCCATGGATGGGTTTCTGTTATCTTGTCAGCTAAAGAGGGGCCAGCAGAAAGGTCCCTTGATCCTTGCTGGCAGGATGGAAATGGGGTGTTAAAACATATTGAAAATAGGAAGAGGGATTGTTTGGAGAACAAGTCCTACAAGGAGAGGCTGAGGGAACTGGGATTATTTAGTTTGACGAAGAGGAGGCTGAGGGGAGACCTCATTGCACTCTACAACTACCTGAAAGGAAGTTGTAGGGAGGTGGGAGTTGTGCTCTTCTCCCAAGTGAATCATGATAGGATGAGAGGAAATGGCCTGAAGATTTAGACTGGGTATTAGGAAGAATTTCTTTACTGAAAGAGTGGTTGGTCAGTGGAACAGGCTGCCCAGGGAGGTGGTGGAAGTGGAAGTGTTTAAAAGAAATATAGATGTGGTGCTTAGGGACATAATTGAAACACTGAAGGGGTAGATTAGGTTATGGTTGGTGGATTTAGGTTATGATTGGACTTCATGATCTTCAAGGTCTTTTCTAACCAGGATGATTCTGGCACAATCCTCAGACCTTTCACCAACTTGGTAGCTCTTCTCTACTCTGTTCTACTCATGTCAACCTATGCACAGGGCTGCCAGAGCACCCATACTCCACAGCAGGGTTCCAGCACCAGCCTTCTGATAAGACACTTCTGGAGGTCAGGCTCAATGGCAGCGTGACCTTCCTGAGGCCAGCAGCTGGAGAGTGATGTGGCTGTGGGGGCTGGGACTCACAGAGCCTGGGTGTCTGGACCAGGACAGCATGGTGGTGGAAGCCTCTGCTCTGGACACAGTGGCCTCAGGAGGTGCTGTGATGTGTGCTCCGGGGGCACCAAACCTGCCAGGAGCACTTGGTGGCAGGCTGAGGCTGGGACCTACAGCTCTGCTCTGCAGGCAGGAGTGGACACAAATGAGGGGGACCCCCTGGCTGCTCTGCAGCCTGGGGCAGGTGTCAGGGATCATGCTGGTGGGGGCTCTGCCTCCCAGTAACAGCAGGGTCACCACTGGCTTTTCTTAACCTCTGGCAGATGTTCATTACTCCAAATTAACTCTGCTAACAACACCTCCAAATCCAGTTGGGAGTGGGATGTGGTTGGGCCATGTGTGACTGATTTGGTGCTACTTGGCTGTTGGGTTTTGCAGGAGGGTGTTGTCCCAAAAGTGGGCACTGTCACTCAGTGTGCAAGAGGCCAACCCACGCACTCAGAT